CTGCGATACACATGGTGTAAATTATCTCTAGGTAACCTCCGTCTATCCAAAATAAAAACCAGTGTTGAAGCTGACACATAATTACGAAATACCAAAATAGGGGCATTGTTATTGCAATAGCTTTCCTAGCGATTCATATACACTGACATGTAATTAGGATCCGTGGAACACGCATACTTTCAACATCCTCACCCAGAGTCTAATTTCACAATGCCAGTAGCTACTTGACTTCATACAATACAGAGAGTTTCTACAACTTTAAATTACTGCTATTCTCATAAAACGTCTCCAACCGTTACAGTGTGGAATATGACACTCTGATTTTCCCTTAATCCATAATCTCATACGTTTAAGAATGCGATAGAACTTAGAAGCGTGATGCTAATTTGCATATATTTAGAAGTCATTACACGAATTAGTAAGGGAACCATTCCACTTTTTATAAGTGATGCAAACACTCAGCAACAGCTAATTAACTCAAACAAGGAGTTTACCCTACTGTGCATCAATTCAACAATCCAAGAAATAGACAGCAAGTGAATGGAGTGCGTACATTGGAGCAGCATAATGAGGTATCGGCCATCGCACTGAGAACTGTTTCTGTGCTCTCGGTTGTGCGAGTTTTACGGCTGTAAACTATTCTGACCCGATAACTAACTGAATTTACCCAATCATTAAATAAAAAATAGAAGCTCAAACTATTAATCAAAACACTATATAATAACTCCAAAAATAAAACCAGCATACAGCTAGAGAAGCAAGGTAAATAAAACGCTGAAATAAAACAGCACAAAATAAAAGTGCAATAGAAAATACATACATGGTCGCAATATTGCAACGGAAGTCTAGTTGTAGAGAAAAATTTAATAACAAAATAAATCGACCAGTTTAAGTCAATTGATCACATGCTAAAATTTGTAAACGTCAGCGATTGTAAAGATGGTGGCATAAATAGATGATAAAAGACAAGATTTATTCAGGCGGTGCTGATGAGTTGGGCAATATGGTGTAGATACATGATCATTGACGGGTTACAAAACGTCATATGAGCTGTTGTTTTCAATTCCTCCTCATCAGAATGCTGTTTACCAGTTCGTCATAGGAACTGTCGTTTCGAGTGAGAGTTGGTTGTGAACGTGGCGCCGGTAAACAACTGGTAGAATAAGCGGAACGTGGGAGACCACTGGCGCTGCTGCCGGCATCGAAATTATAGCCACCGAAATGCAGGCAATCAGCGCTGCTCGCCACATACGGCGAGGGGGTTGCCAAAGCTTGAAAACTGGTACTGCCGATCGACGAGTTACAGGAGGTAGCATTGGAGAAGAACGACGGGTGTACGCCGTCGATGGGCCTTCCTGAAGAAAAGTCGCTGCTACCCTGCTGGTACAACGCCATTATGTCCTGTTTGCTTTTCCGGCAGCTGGTGACGTTTGAAGACACAGGTTCAGGAGTCAAGAGTTGCGTGTCAGTCTTGGCACGGATGTTGCAACAATTTTGAGTCGTTTGCTGGCTGGGGTTGGCGTAGGAGGACAAGGAGGATTCGAGCTGGATGTCGCCTTCTGCTTGCAGATCGATAACGTTTAAGCCAAGAGCAGTCGATGAATCCTGAGAAGACCTAATCGAACTGACATCAGCAAACGCCGAGAATGACCCGTACCCCTAAAGAACGGTGTTGGACAAAAACAACGAGAGAGAACTTACAAAATTGATGCTCGCCAGTTCTTCCTCAGCAGGCGTGCTGCAATTCGGCGCAGAACTTGCGCTGACCGAGGCTTTCACTGTCATCGCATTGTTCGACACACCTTCCCTCTTTGTCACCCTTACTTTGGTATGTTTTAAGTGCTGCAGTGATTTTGCCTCAGACTGCAGTTCGTGTTCGAGCTGTTTTGCCGCTTCTTCGGTATTTACTGTTGGTGGAACCCATCCTTTCTTCATATACAATTTCTGAACATATTTCGACTTTATGAACGACTCGACGAGATTGTCGCTTTTTGGGCGCCGGAAAGTTGGAGGGAGATTCGCCTCGTACACTGCCCTCGCCGTACTGTTCCCTATCAGTCGCATATACTGCACTTGTTGAGCTGTCCACGTATCCAGATTCACTGATTTAACCTTAATCAGCAAATATTACAGTCTGTATGCATTAAAAACCAATCAATACTTTTGAAATATGGACACCCAGGTTTCGATGAATCCCAGCACAGCGGATGCAAAGGAAAACGCCGAGATTCCATGACGCCCATCGTGGGCCCTTTGCTTCACAGTCTGCACAATACTTATTTTCCTCATCTTTCAGTAAATCGTTCAAGATTTGTTGCAGTTTTTCCTGTTGTTCCGCAAACTTTTTATCACTTTTCGTATTCATCACTGACGCTTGCTATTCAATCCCTAAAAATACGGTATTTAAAAGTGGTACAGTCGTTTAGACTACATGCGACTTAGTGTGATCGCAAAAAACATCTTACAAGAGATTGTTGGTACGATATATTTCACATTAACCAAAAGCAAAACTGCATAATGAACGGCATTATCAAAATGATTTTTGTGATGTAAGCCACGATGTAGTTAAGACACTCATCAGCAGGCAAATCCGCATGTGTTATGTTATTTATTATGCTCATGATATGGTCCCGACGAAAGTTGGTTATGGGAATCTGTTATTAGTATTCGCTGATTTTAGGCCAAGTATAACCAAAACTTCGTGTGAATCCGAAACACATAACACGAAAGAGGAAACAGTCGCAAGACGAAGATTTGGGGGCTGCTACCCGAAGACAAGAGTAAAAGAAGTGTGGCAAAACATCTTAATGCAAATT